TGTAAACTGGCTAAGAGCATGTACTCTATAAGGCAAGTATTAGTATTTCAATTGCACAGATGAAGATGACGCTGAAGCTAAGCAAGATTGATTCATGTGTCCCAGGTCACAATAACGTAGGAGGAAATGTAAGATTTGACAGGTTTAATCTGGCTCCTGTTGCTGCACTCTTGCCACTACCGCCTTGTTGTATCTGTTCACTGATGTTCGAACAGCCACCAAAGTACTAAAAATGCTAACATTTCAGAGGAGGCACATCACAGGGGCTCCCAGGGCCAATGCTTGAGGAGGGCACACCCTGCACAAAGCTGTGGGCTGAAGAGGCAAGCAGCGCGGAAACAAGCCTGAGCTTGGTTGTTTTGTAATTTGCACAGAGGAGCTGTATGGGCTGGCGATGGCATGGAAACACCGGTGACTGCAGCTTAAGGAATTCCATCAGCCTCTTGATTTCTGTTTTCTGTCTATCCTTTGAGGACTATTTGTCAATTTCCTGGAAGTGGCTCTACCTCAGAAAAGCTTCCTGGCTCTTAGATGTAGAGTTTACAATCCTCTGAGGCCAGTGTGAAATGCCCAGTTGTCCTGACTGTTGTCAGGAACAAGACCAGCATTCCCTCAGAAGCTCATCATTCTGAAAATTAGACACAGACCACTTATTAATATGTATGGCAAATCTGGGATCCTCCTTAGTGGGTGTAGCTACAATAAAGAGGTCAACATGAAGGCCTGGGATTTGAGAGATGAAACAACCTGTACCTTTGTCTTACACTTTGGAAAATAGGACCTGAATATTTTTCAAGGTCTCTTGAGAGTGGGCCTCAAGGTTGGGGGCTTCTTTTCAACCTGTCACAGTCATAGTCACCATAGCTTATAAATGTTTGTTGCTTGAATGATATTTGAAGTAAAATATTTATCCTAATAAATCAGTAATGTGGGAAATATGTAGTCTGCCTGATATGAATGCTTTGCACTTAATCCTATTAGTTTCAAAGGAAGAAAAAGGACAGATATGGGAGTCAGGCAACTTTGGCTTTCTCTTTCCATCTCTGCCACAGCCTTTGGGTATAACATTGAGCAAGTCATTCACCATCTGTAGAATGCAGATTTAAAGAAACGATGGACTCAATGATATCTCCAAATGCCTTCATGCTGGTACAGTGCTCTTTTAACCAAGCATATTCACATGGTAGTAACATGTTTCATGGCATTCTGTAGAGTTTAATGATCCCTTGGTACACCCTTCTCATGTGATGAATACTCTTGATAAAAAAGACAGAACAGGCTGGGCACGATGGCTCACTATAATCCCAGCACTTTGGGAGGTGGAGGCGGGCAGATCACTTGAGGCCATGAGTTTTAAGACCAGCCTGGCCAACGTGGTAAAACCCTGTCTCTACTAAAAATACAAAAACTAGCTGAGCATGGTGGCACACACCTGTAGTTCCAGCTACTTGGGAGACTAAGGCATGAGAATCACTTGAACCTGGGAGGCAGAGGTTGCAGTGAGCCTAGATGGTGCCACTTCACTCCAGCCTGGGTCCCGTGTCAAAAAAAGAAGAAGAAGAAGAAGAAGAAGAAGAAGAAGAACACAGGAAAAGTGTTATTATCTCCTTTTACACACTAAAATACTAAGGCCATGAGGGGTGAGCCAGTTCCTCTAAAGGAGGCAAGTTCTGTCTCATCTTTCCACAACACCATGCTGTCAGCCAGATATTACTTGGTCCAGTAAAAATTTCGCCTGTCTGGTCTAGCCTTGTCCAGTTGCTTTGTTCAAACTGGAGACAGAAAAGCACCAGCCTAACTATAGCCTTCAAATGTCTATACTGCAGTGTTACATTGTCCTTGACCTTTATTTCCCTCAGATTGAGCACAGAATGCTTCTCACATAGATGCAAGTCTGGTTCTGCTTTATTTCTTACCAAAGAGAGAGTGTACATCAAGAAACACGGGAACCAGGCAGCTTCTTTTCTCCAAGAATAGTTTCAGGGGCCAAGAAGGCTGGGAAACTGTGGTCAGGAGCAGAAGAGTCACAGCTCAGTAAGTCATTCTCTTGCTGGTGGGTTTGACAACACACAGTCAATAACAATAATGACAAGAACTACATTTATTAAGTGTCTACAGTGCACTAAGGATTTGACAAATATTGTCTCATTTAGGAAATGAAATTTCTAAAAATGGAAGTTCAAGAAATTAACAGTTGTAGAAAGAAGCTGTAGGAAAGGGAAAAAAGAGTTATGGAGTCTGAGAGCAGAAGCAGTGTTACATGGAAAACTGTGAAGTTAGACCACAAGGACTGAGAGCCTGTCATGGCAGCAGCCCACACAGCTGCCTTGTGTCCCCTGGGAGTCCCCTCTCTGAGTCACATTCAGGCCACCCGCCTCTACCACAACCCATGAAAGAGTGAAAATAGATTTTAAACAAAGAAAGTGAGCTTTGGGGTCTGAGAAGGAGTCTTTGCTCTACCACTCCCTAGTGACTCTACCACTTCCTACCAGGGAAATCTTAACTGAGTTTCTTCACATCTGAGAGTGTCAGTATTTTCATCCATAACATGTTGGTCTTTTTTTTTGCGTCTTTTTTAAAAATGAAGCTTAATCATATAAGTTCCTTGAGCTCAAACAAATCAGCAAGAAAAAAAAAAAATTTCCTCAGAAAGTGGGCAAATGACATGAATAGATATTTCTCAAAAGAAGATATCCAAATGTCCAACAAACATGAAAAAATGCTCAACATCTAGTTATCAGGGAAATGCAAATTGAAACCACAACGAGATACTGCCATACCCCAGCCAGAATAGGTTTGTAATAAACGAAGTCAAAAAACAACAAATGTTGGATGGATGCAGTGAAAAGGGAACACTTACACGCTGCTGGTGGGAATGAAAATTAGCACAACCTCTATGAGAAACAGGATGGAGATTTCTTAAAGAACTAAAAGCAGATCTACCATTTGATCCAGCAATCCCACTACTGGGTATCTATCCAAAGGAAAAGAAGTCATTCTATCAAAAAGACACCTACATGCATATGTTTACTTCAACACAATTCACAATTGCAAAGATACGGAACCAACTAAGTGCCCATCAACCAACGAGTGGATAAAGAAAATGTGGTATATATACACTATGGAATACTACTCAGCCATAAAAAAAAACAACAATGAAATAACGTCTTTTACAGCAATTTGGATGAAGCTAGAGGCAGTTATTCTAAGTGAAGTTACTCTGGAATGGAAGAATCAAATACCATATGTTCTTACTTACAAATGAGAGCTAAGCTATGGGTATGCAAAGGCATGTAGAGTGGTACAATAGATTTTGGAGACTCAGAAGCGGGAGGGTGAGAGGGGAGTGGGGGATAGAAAAGCTACATATTGGGTACAATGTATGCTACTCAGGTGACATAAGCACTAAAATCTCAGATTTCACCACTATACAACTCACCCGTGTAACCAAAAACATTTTACCCCAAAAGCTATTGCAATAAGAAAAATTTAAAAATATATAAAATTCCTGGCATAGTATCAGCAGATTCTGGGTTTCTCAACAAGAATTGGAAGAGAGAAGAGAGAAGAAAAAGGAGCAACAGTCATTTGTTATATTTATTACAGTCATTAATATTATTATTTTTCAAGATCCGGCTTAGGGTTCTTTAGTAAACGGTAAAATTAAGAGCATTCTTCTACAGATTACCTACTAGAGATTTTTCTTCCTTGAGCCTTGCTAATTAAAAAATATCATAAATGTTCTAACTAGGCCGTTGACATTTATTTTCAATAATTGCAAAGGGACTTAAATAACATGTTAAAGGACATGTTAATATTACTCTACAATTTAACTCACTGTGACTTGATGCTAACACTAATTTGGAGAATTAGTCACATGGAAAATAAATTAAGTTCATGGGACAAATGGGGAATCTGAGATCCCTTTTCCAAAATCCAGGGTCTAGCAGAGCATATAGGAAGTGAAGCAAACTAGCACAACCATCCAACTTAACACATTCAGTGGCATTTGGAGCTGTGGTGGGGAAAAGAGGCTCCCTAGTTAATTTCACACTTCCCCCATACATTTCAAAAAGCAAGGTGTGACTCATTTCAAAAAACAAGGTGCAGCTGGGTTTTTTAAAAAAAGACTTTCCCTAGGCTAAATGCCAGGTATTCTGCAAACTCCCTGGCTTAAAGGAGTTTTCTGTTTCCTGGTATCTGTTTGCTATGGGGAATCCAAATCTTCTCAGTAACAGCAAGGGTTTTATGCTTCTGGTAGGATGTTTCCTGCTCTTTAAGGCTGTAGGTTTACCGGAGTTGCTGGCCTTCGTCAGAGTGTAGGCATGTTGGGGGCATGTCTGCACTCTATACGACCCAGGGAAATTTACTAAGGTGGCATCCACTCGGTACCTCATGTGTGTGGCACCCCCAGCAACCCTAGGAAATAAAAGCTGTTGTTGTCTGTGTTGGACACATTAGGGAATCAAAGCTCAGAGGGGTTACCTTGTCCCTAGACCATGCTGCGTCTCCAACAACACAGCCCATCTGTGCTGAAATATCTAGCAGGTCCTGGTGGAGGGGATGGAGGCCCTCTCGGGTCACTTTGCTATTCTCCACCAGGGTCCTCAGCCACCCCCTCCTTGCTGCGGATGCCCCAGGTTTGTTTTCTTTGGCTCCCTCATTAATGAGTTCCACAGCACAATGCTAAGTCTAGTTATGCAGCCTTAATTGGTTTAGTTACAACAAGATAATTCCTTTTTTCTTCTCTTGGAGGCCTTTCTGTTTAAAGACATTTTAGCTGGAAGATGCTAATTATCAATGAGGAGAAAATGACACCTGAAGAGTTCATTTTCCATCTTGGTCTTTGGTTTTTCCTTTGAACTCTCTTTACACGGCCCTCTTTCCCACTTCATCACTTCTCCCCCACCATCATAAAAGAGAGCTCTTCCCTGGCCAGGCGGCAGAAGTTTCTTTCTCACTTGCCAGGGAGCCATTTCTTCTGCAGCTGTCTCGCAGGCATGGACAACCTGCGCGAGACTTTCCTCAGTCTCGAGGATGGCTTGGGCTCCTCTGACAGCCCTGGTCTGCTGTCTTCCTGGGACTGGAAGGACAGGGCAGGGCCCTTTGAGCTGAACCAGGCCTCCCCATCTCAGAGCCTTTCCCCGGCTCCATCGCTGGAATCCTATTCTTCTTCTCCCTGTCCAGTTGTGACTGGGCTGCCCTGTGAGCATGGCGGGGCCAGCAGTGGGGGCAGCGATGGCTGCAGTGTTGGTGGGGCCAGTGGCCTGGTAGAGGTGGACTACAATATGTTAGCTTTCCAGCCCGCCTACCTCCAGGGTGGTGGTGGCCCCAAGGCCCAGAAGGGCACCAAAGTCAGGATGTCTGTCCAGCGGAGGCGGAAAGCCAGCGAGAGGGAGAAACTCAGGATGAGGACCTTGGCAGATGCCCTGCACACCCTCCGGAATTACCTGCCACCTGTCTACAGCCAGAGAGGCCAGCCGCTCACCAAGATCCAGACACTCAAGTACACCATCAAGTACATCGGGGAACTCACAGACCTCCTCAACCGCGGCAGAGAGCCCAGAGCCCAGAGCGCATGAGCTCCATCCGGGGAAACTGACCGGTTCCACCCTCCCGGGCAGGAGTAGAGGAGCTTTGAAGACCTGGATATCTCATTGAACAATGGTTGGCGTGGAGTGATTTTTATGTAGTAAGTGTGGTAATCTTGTGATCAGCAAAACACCAAGGGAATTCACATCTGACCTGTTGGAGCCACTGGAACACTTACCTGCCAGATGAGCAGAGACTTTCATCTCCAGTTTTTTTCCACCATCTCTGGGAGGCTCATCCTTTGCAAAGAGACAAATTATTTTGCCCTTCTCTGTCTGTTCAAGGTATTTTAAAGGGTCAGTGATTTTAAATGCATTTTTTCAATAATGTAAAAGTGTTACAGTTAATCTCCTGCCATTTTGGTGTTGAGAGCTTTCCTTCTGTTGCTAACAAAACCTGTAGTTTGTATAGGATCCAGTGTGATATCTGGAATCTTATTTAGAAAGATCTGTGCCAAGTAAAGGGCTTTAGTGCTCCTGTTTCATTTTGTGTGTGTATGTGTGTGTGTTTGTGTTTGACTGAAAACATGCTCTTGCAGGGACCAAAATCACTTAAATGCAGAAGGCACTGGTGTCATGATAAATGGAAAGTCACAGGCAGACAGGCTAAGTTAAGACAGTGAAGATCCCAAAGGACAGAGCCTCCTCTTCATACGCGGACAACTTGTGTGACAGGGAAGGAGGGTACAGGAAGGAGGAGGAGGAGGAGACAGCACCTCAGGGTGGGCCTGAAGCAGGGCTGGGTGGGCAGGGGCTCCCTGTCCTTTGTCCTGGGCCTGGTATGAACAGGACCTTATTTAGTCTTTTTGCTTACTTGTTTGTCAAATAAAGAGATGGTCTCAGAAGAAAAAAAAAAAAAAAGTGATTTGAATCCCATAAAGAAAAAGTAAAAGGGTCAGTGTTAGAACTCAACAGTCTCTGACCCCTCCAAAGGCATTTGCTTCTCCATCTTCCCCTGCTATCCATCCGCCTCCCTGTAACCCCAGATCCCCCACATGCACCCATCACACACACCCACTCTTCATGGTGCCTTGTCTTAGGGTGAGCATCTGTAGCACCCACAGTTTAGCTCATTTGAATGGCACAAGACATTGAAAAGGGGGCTTTGAATTAAGGAGGTTCTTAAAACTAGTGAGTTTTTTTAAGGCTGAATTTTTCTACCTATGGTTATTAACCATTAGTATTTGTTGTACATGTGTCGTATCATCTTTTTTCTATTGGTGATTTTCTTTTCTTTTTAGTGACATAAATTACAAAAGCAGTAGATGTGTTCACTACTTCCCCATTTTTTTTTTTTTTTTGCTGATACAAACATACAAATATGTATGACTTGTCCATTTTTTGCTTATACAAACATATACAAATAAATATAAGCATATATAAATGTTAAAGGAAAAAACCTGAAAATTCCTTTTTTAACTTAACAATATATAGTACAAATTCTTCCAAGTTAGCACAAATAAATCTGTGGTGTAAATACCATTATTACCTTCATTTTATAGATGGGAAAACAGATGTATGACTTGCTGAGTCACACATGAGAAAAGTATAACAGGAAACAGAGGTTCTAGCAAGGTTCAATAGAACAGATTCTGTAAAATTTCTTAGGTAAGTCACCTTTTCAATGATTTTTAAGTTGTTTTCAGTTTTTTTTAATGATAAAAATGCTATAACAAAGATTATAGACACTAGCTTTATTTACTGATGTGTTCATTAGCTTGAAAAATTCCCAGAAATGGGATTCTTGGATCAGAGTATGCACATTTTAAATTTTAATAAATATTGTTATGTCACTTTTATAAAAGTTTCTAGTTATTTATACTCCTCCTAGTATTATGTGACAGAACCAGTTGCCCCACATTTTCATTGGATGTTATCAATTTTATGAATTTTTAGTGGATAAAAATGGTTCATTGATGTGTTGATTTTAACTTTCCTGTCTCTCATTTGAGGTGGAGCATCTTTATTTCATGTGACCATTGTTCATTTTGGTTCCTCTTCTAAAACTTCCCAGTTTATGTTCTTTGCCATTTTTCTATTGTGTTATCTTCGTGTTAGAGAGTTCTTTGTATATTATGTATTGGAATAATATTTCCTTCCAATCTTTTTATATTGCATTCTTTTTTCTTTTTTATTGATGCATATTAATCATATTTACAGGGTATATTTGATATTTTGTTACATGCATAGAATGTATAATGGTGTAAAGATCTAGTCAGGGTATTTAAGTATTCATCATCTTGAATATTTATCATTTCAGGAACATTTCAAGTCCTTGCTTCTAGCTATTTTGAAATATACAATTCATTGTTGTTAATTATAGTCACCCTGCTCCGCTATCACACACTAGAATTTATTTGTTTATCTAACTCTATGCTTATACCCATTAACCAACCTCTCTTTATCCCCTACCCACCCCTCCCGCCATCCACGCTCCCTTCCCAGCCTCTGTTACCTATCATTCTACTCTCTTTTTCCTTTTTATTCACTCTGTTGCCCAGGCTGAAGTGCAGTGGTGCAATGATAGCTCACTGCAGCCTCAAATTCCTGGGCCCAAGCAATCCTCTTGCCTCTGCCTCCTGAGTAGCTGGGACTATAGGCATGTGCTCCATGCCCGGCTAATTTTTGTATTTTTTGTAGAGCATGTTGCCCAGGCTATCATTCTACTCTCTACCTCCGTAAGATCATTTTTTTTTAGCTCTCACATTTGAGTGAGAACATGCAATATCCTTCTGTGCCTGGCCTATTTCACTTAACATATTGACCTCCACCGTATTTGTTTTGATGATGTCTTTTTTTTTCTTTTTTTTGAGACAGAGTTTCGCTCTTGGTGCCCAGTCTGGAGTGCAATGGCGTGATCTCGACTCACTGCAACCTCTGCCTCCCAGGTTCAAGCAATTCTCCTGCCTCAGCCTCCCAAGTAGCTGGGATTATAGGGATGTGCCATCACGCCCGGCTAATTTTGTATTTTTAGTAGAGATGTGGTTTCCCCATATTGGTCAGGCTGGTCTCGAACTCCTGACCTCAGGTGATCTGCCAACCTTGGCTTCCCAAAGTGCTGGGATTACATGTGTGAGCCACTGTGCCCGGTGATGATGCCTTATGATCTTGATTATGGCATCTTTTTTTTTTGAAGCTTTTCATTTTTATATGATCAAATTTGGTTTTTGTTTCATGGCTTATGTGTTTTTCCCCCTTGCTTAATTTTCCCCAGTTCCAAGGCTGTCCAAGTGTTCTCTGGATGTTTTGCAAATACTCTTGCAGTTTTATTATTTATTTATGTCTCTTCAAAATATCTGCAATTCATTTTTGTCTGTAGTGTGTGGAAGGAATCAAATTTTATTTCTGTGTAGCTCGTTATCAGGGATTGGTGTCATTCTATGTATGTAAACTTTCACCAGCTTCTCATATATTTGGTGTTTTAGAGAAAAAGCTAGAAAACATTGAACAATATGAAGACTTTCTCCAAAGAACTTTATCACATGCACGTACAGGTGTTCATGTGAGAGCGTATGTGTGTGCACATATACATGTATTTGTTCACCTGTGTGTTCATGCATGTGTATGTGTGGGTTGTGTTTTTTGTGTTGGAGAAAGAGGGTATTGGGGTAAGGGAGAACCAGCTGTTCTAAAAACCAACTTTCGGTTCAAATGCTATTTTCCTCACCATTTTTAAATGAGTGGGACTCAAATGCTCTTGGCTTTGATTTTTCAAGCTCAAGTATTAACAATGGTTTATAAATAGCTTGGGCAATTTTGGTTGTCCTGGGCACCAAATACTGTGAATGAATTAGGAGGTATTTCCTGTCCTCAGTCTCAAAATATCCCTTAATGTCACAGACTCACCTATTAGCTGGGTATGCCCTCAGGACTTCTAAGGGACCCACTGGAGGGTAGGTGTGTGCAAAACCAGGAGAAGATGGCAGCTTCCTGGGAGGGGTCCTGTGGCGCAGAGCCTTATCTCACCCACACCCCCTTCCTAGCCTCTGTTATCTATCATTCTACTCTCTTTTCCCACTGAGTCCTTCCCAGATTGCCAGGCTGCAGCCACAACTGCTGTACAGGATAGGCAGCTGTATATGAGTGTTTTACTCCTGCCAGTCCCCAGTGGAGTCGCCTCCCTTATCAGGAGGATATCTGGAATAGGTCCCTCATTCTTCCAGGGAGTGTTTCAAAGCATCTGGCCTGCGCACAGCTCAAGATTAGGAATAAGTTATTTCTGGTGGAGACTGGTTCCGTCTCCCAGCTCGCATCTTTCTCCAGTTCTGGATGCTTCCTGCCCTTGAACATCGGACTCCAAGTTCTTTATGGTTGGGACTTGGACTGGCTTTCTTGCTCCTCAGCTTGCAGATGGCCTATTGTGGGACCTCACCTTGTGATCATAGTTGTATAAAGAAAGGGAGAAGAAAGCCACGTGATGACAGAATCCAAGGAAGAGATTGGATTCATGCTGCTGCAAGCCAAGGAAAATCTGGGGCTACCCAAAACCAGAAGAGACAAGGAAGGATTCATTCTTAGAGGCTTCATAGCTGTGCTGATACTTAGACTTCATATTTCTTGCCTCCAGAACTGTGAAAGAACACAATTCTCTTGTTTTAATCTACCCAATGAGAGGTAATTTATAGTGGCAACTGTAGCAAACGTAATACATCCGTCGTCTATCATAATCTTTCTTTTGGAAAAGGGAAAAAAGTATTCTCAGATTTTTTTCACCTTCTCTTGCCTCATTTTCTGTAGTTGAAGTGGGGGCAGGGACTAAGCATGGCTAGACATATTGACCAACTGGGCAGGTTGGATGATTTCACTTCATCTTCTGTAAAATCAGATGAACTTGTAGCTGGATCAGCAATTTACTCTAGTTCTATAGTTAGCTGTACACTCACTCTCACACTCCTCAGGAGATTATCTTGTATCACTTTCTCTATTCTTAAATATTTTATTCTCTTCTTACTACTTCACTCTTAGCTAATGATTTTTCATAACATTGTTAA